AAATAATCCAACTTTTCATAACCCATAAACTCTCCTTAAGCATATCCATATATAGTAAAAAGTACTAGATAAGCTGAAAATAAGCTCAACCAAATTTGGCCTTTTTCTTTTGAGCAAGATCCTCCGTTGTCCTCTAATGGATTGGAACAATTATCATCTTTTGCAACTTGATTTTGCTTGGAACAGCACAAACATGATTATAGTAGGCCTCCTTTCTTTGCGTTGTTAGACTGATATCATTGCTTATCATACTAATCATATCTCTGTGAATATTTGTTGAAATTACATGCCTATTTTAAAAATGTTCTTGAGCTTCTTATAATAAAAATTTACCAGGCATATGAGGGCATTTATATCTCCTTGACTTGGTTTTTCTGTCAGCACAGTGTTACTGTATCGTTGGTGATAGTGTACCAATTTTGAAAATTTGTGGATTACTTGGAGAGTGAACATATAACCAGTATTGGGTATAGAGATGACTCCCCCAAAATAGATAAATAAATAAACCAAAGTAAATGCTATTTCATTGCATAGTATATCACAAGTCAGCTGACACATTTACTTATTTTACTGTGCAGGTAACCTGTCAGTTACTTGGCGTGATCCTCGAGGAAACTAGCCCAGAGGAGCTTCAGGTTATTTCTGTTTTTCATTTCTTCACCATTTGTTAGTGTCTTTAGTGACAGTTGTTAATCATGCATTTAACAAAGTGCACCTTTGTTTGTAGAAACAAGCAACAGTAAAACCCTCTGTGCTGAAAGTGTTGCTTGAAATCACCAAATGTTGTGATCTTTATCTAATGGAGAGAGTTCTGGATGATGAAAGTGAAGTAAGTGCTCGTTCTTAGCTTATTATAATGAGCAAGAAAGCTCAAGTGGGAATGTTTAATATTCTAAAGAAAATTTCCTCCTTAATTATGTGATGAGGTGTTATTTGCAGAAAAAGGTCCTCCTGGCTTTAGAAGATGCCGGAGTATTTACATCTGGTGGCTTGGTGAAGGACAAGGTATTTAGATCTTCTAACTTCTCCTTTTCTTTAATCTCTATTATTATTATTTTCAATTCAAGGCTCTTAATGGATTTCTTCATTACCAAAGAAGTTTATCTCTTGTTGCCCCCCATCTCATCAGAAAATTATCTTGTTAGACTTGCTACTGAAAATCCTTCAGGTGAAAAAGGCTGATTGAGTGATTGTCCATAGTCCATATTATGAATGAATTGGATCTCACAAGTCTTTAGAATTTAGATAACCTTGAAACCGTTCTGCTATTTATTTATTTTATTACTGCTTGTGCAGGTTCTCTTTTGTAGCGCTGAAAATGGTCGGACGTCTTTTGTTAGGCAACTGGAACCGGATTGGCATATTGACACAAATCCAGAAATTGTAACCCAGTTAGCGGTACATTTTTATTCTTTTTAGCAATATAATATTCTTTAGATGCTATTCTCTCTTACAAAATGGCATAGAGATACTATAAATATGGTGAAGTTAGATATGTGCAGACCTGTTTTAGGAGACAATGTACTGTTTTATATGTTTCTGCAGACTCCAGAAAAATTCATATTTGGTAAACAAAAATGGCATTGACTAATGCACGAAAATGAGAGTGTAGAGACTAGAGAGGAGAGCAAAAAAAAATAAAAATGATTAATACTATTACTCAAATTAGTTCTTGGGCTTCATTGGCGTATATGCAAATTGCAAATGCATTGCAAGTTAGTCATTCTAGATCTTAGTTTACGGAACTTCAATTGATGCCAAACCCAATATTTTTTGTTAGTTATGTGTAATGTATTTTTGTATTTACTTGTGGTAATGGGTGCAGAGATTCATCAAGTACGAGCTTCACATTTCACCAACTAAGCCAGAGCGAGCTGCTTCGAACGTGTTCAGCTCAACTTCCTTGGAGCAGTTCTTTGGTTGTGTTTAAAATGCAAATAAGTAAAAAGGATTTAGATACATCTGTCATTTGTTTTTTTTTTTTTTTTGATTTGTTTTGCTTAATGCCCTTTTTAGAGTAGCTGCTGGCCTGCAGCTGTAACATTGTTAGGAAACAGGGATACATTACTTGATTCTGCTAGTTTGGTACTCAAAACTACTCTACGCTGGAAATTCTTCTATGTGCCAATTTGGTGCTTGTTTATAATAGCTCTACTTTCCATGATTGCTAAATTTGATCTTACTCGTTCATTGATTTAGCGGATGAGAAGTTTCACTTAAGATTTGCTTCCAGAGTTCCAGTAATAAGGTAACGTCCAATTTTTGTCTGCGTGCAGAAGTGTATAATTTGGTATTAAGTCTCGAAACTAGATTATTAGCAAAATAGAAAATTTTGGGTTATCAAAAAAGAATTTGACTCTATTCACTAAATTTTAAAAAACGTAAATTGTCAGTTATTTGCGAATGCACTGTTAAATATTAATTGTAATTATAAAAATGTTATAATATTTTGGGAGAATGCAGTTACCGAAATTTGAACTTATACAGCTACCGAAGTTCAAACTTGATTTTTTTTTTCTCCCAAATATTATCTACTGCATCATTGAGCTAAGTCTGTGCGGACATTTTATTACGAACCTAGTTCTCTTGGAGTTGATATATATATATATATATATATATATATATATATATATATATATCAGCTCTTGGGCGTTAAATGCTATCCAAATAGACGAGAAGATAAGACTTTGGAGTTGAAACGAAAAGAAGGCAATGGAGTGTATGGCAAACTATAACGTCACTTCCCTCTCCCCTCCTCCAACTCTGCATCATCTCCGTTCTCTCCTTCGAAGATCTCTCAGAGCCCATCAAAGCCACCACCATGCTTTCAAGACCAAAGCATCATCGTCTACAATTGATCTTAGTCCTCAGAAACATTCCAACAAGAAAAGAGCGAAACCGACAACGCGAAGAAAATTCCGGGAGCAGGACGCTTTCCCGGACTCCATACCTATTCACAGCAAAAACCCACATTCCGTTTACAAAGATATTCGGAGCTTCGCCCGCCAGAACAGGCTAAAAGAAGTCCTTTCTATTCTTGATTACTTGGACCATCGCGGTATTCCTGTAAATGTCACCACTTTCGCTTCCATTATCGAGGCTTGCGTCCGGAGGAGGGCCCTGAACGAAGCTAAGACTGTGCATACACATATCCGGATCAATGGGCTTGAAAATAATGAGTTTTTGCAGACGAAGCTTGTCAACATGTACGCGGCTTGTGGGGCGGTTGAGGAAGCAAAGAGGGTGTTCGATGGAATGCCTGTGAGAAGTGTGTACCCGTGGAATGCGCTGCTTAGAGGAAATGTCGTGCTGGGTGGTCGTAAATACCACGAGGCTCTAGATACGTTTTCAGAAATGCGGGCTCAGGGAGTGGAGTTGAATGTATATAGCTTCTCTTGTATGATCAAGAGTCTTGCTGGGGCTTCTGCATTTTCCCAAGGTTTGAAGACTCATGCACTTTTGGTAAAGAATGGCTTTCTGGGCAGTAATATAATCAGAACTAGTCTGATTGATATGTACTTCAAGTGTGGGAAGATCAATCTTGCTTGCCGGGTTTTCGAGGAGATTGAAAACAGGGATGTTGTTGCTTGGGGTGCAATGATTGCTGGTTTCGCTCATAATCGCCTGCAAAGGGAGGCATTGGAGTGTGCAAGACAAATGATAGAAGAAGGATTGGAAGTGAATTCAGTTATTCTGACTACAATTCTTCCAGTTATTGGAGAAGTGTGGGCATGGAGAATTGGGCAGGAGGCCCATGCTTATGTACTCAAGACAAAGGACTACAGCAAGCAATTGTTTATCCAGTCTGCTCTGATAGATATGTACTGCAAGTGTGGAGATTTGGCCTCAGGAAGGAAGGTGTTTTACAGTTCAAAGGAGAGAAATGCAGTCTCCTGGACTGCTCTCTTGGCAGGTTATGTCGAAAATGGGAGGTTGGATCAAGCTTTAAGGTCTATTACATGGATGCAACAGGAAGGTTTCAAGCCTGATATTGTCACACTTGCTACAGTCCTGCCAGTTTGTGGGAAACTAAAGGCACTGGTGCAAGGTAAGGAAATCCATGGATATGCAGTGAAAAATGGCTTTTTGCCCAATGTTTCTGTTGCCACTTCCCTGATGATGATGTATGCAAAGTGCGATCTGCTCGAGTATTCAGTGAGAGTGTTCGAGGGGATGGAGAAGAGGAACGTAATCGCGTGGACAGCCATGATATCATCCTACATCGAATCTGGAAGCCTGCACGAAGCGCTTGATGTTTTCCGGGCAATGCAGCTGTCAAAGCACAGGCCAGACTCGGTTGCAATGGCAAGAATGTTGGAAATATGTGGTGAGCTCAGAGATCTGAAGCTTGGAAGAGAACTACACGCCCAAGTTCTGAAGAAAGACCTTGCCTGTGTGCCCTTTGTTTCTGCAGAAACCATTAGAATGTATGGCAGCTGTGGTGCCATTGATGAAGCCAGATTTTCCTTTGATGCAGTGTCAGTTAAAGGACCGATAACATGGACTGCCATCATTGAGGCTTATGGACTCACTGGCCAATATGTTGAAGCATTACAGACTTTTAAGCAGATGATATCAAAGGGCTCTTCTCCAAATGCCTTTACCTTCAAGGCAATCCTGCATATTTGTGAGCAAGCTGGATTTGCAGATGATGCCTGTAGATTTTTTTCTTTGATGACCAAACGATATAAAATTGATGCATCCAAAGAACATTATGACAGCATTATTAGCCTCCTCAATAGTGTAGGTCAATTTGAGAAGGCTGACAAATTTGTACATTTGAGATCATTATTGGAATGAAGATATTAAGAATGTTCAACAGGTTTCAAGTTCGAGTCTCATCCCAATCAGGGTTGACATTATGTTGAACAGATATTACTAGTAGATTAGAGTGTATAAAAAAAATGCTCAATTTTTTTTTTTCACACATTCAGACTAGTTTTATTTACAATATTCAAATCTGAGACTTTTTTCAAGGAAAAAAAATATCAAATTTAATGTTATACAAGGACATATTATCTTCAACATAAAACAATGGAAAAGAGAATTGGTTCAGATTCTAAGAAGCTGTGTTTTACTATGGTTCTAATGCTATCATCATATGAAGTAACAAGAAATCGAAGAGTGAATAAACTGACTACACAAAATTGGGATATAGTTGCATTTGATCCATATCAAAGTTAAAATAAAGCTAGAATTACGCCTTCAATTGCTCTTCTTCAAGGCATCTGGGGCATTTACATCTGAAACCATAGTCTGCAAGCGATGCCTGTCTCTCCTCAACCGGAAGGTCCTCGTCTACATATGAAATAGTGATCTGGAAATGTAGACACGAAATATTTATGATCAGCGTTGAAACAAGCAAAAAAGATTAAATTATCAAAGATTACCTCTTCTCCCTTTTGTATCGGTTGGAGAGCAATTATTGTTGCCTGGCCATCCAAATCCTACGTACAAGGGAAAATAAAAGATTCATAATCATAAAACACTGAGGTCTTTAAATTTGAAAACATGAAAATGCAAAGATGAAAATATCCTCAGGCAATCAGGCATTAGGGTTTCAGTATTAGTTTTACGCCTTCAATTGCTCTTCCATAACAGGGTAACTGCTGCAATCTAAACATAGCATAATGACAAATAAATATGAAGCTCTACACAAGTGTTCTGAATGTACGGACCTCTTCTCGTTTGAAAGCTTTCGCATTAGGTTTACAGGAATGGTTCATGCAACTCTGTAAGGGGAAAAATGCAGTACCTAACACCAAAATTACAATAATCTGTCAAACTTCAGAATCAACGAACCCCATAATAAAGAGAGATAAAATCTTCTAATTTGAGGTGGCAGAAAAGTTAATCAACATCCCCCCTTCTCTAATCTCTCCTGGACTAGAGTTGCAAAAGATATCGAATCAAATTCAGAAGGTTTGCAAAATCCAAAACAATGATTAGCACAGTTAACCAGAGCTTCACTGATATTATAACTCACTCTTGCAAGGTTGCAAGTGACCTTAACTTCTCACTAATTTGACATAAATTTCAAAATATTTCATCAAGTTATGAAATTTTTATCCCCCAAACTTAACTCTTGAAGGAAGAAGAAAAACAAAAAAGGAAAAACTTTTTTTTTTTTATAACATCCACATTTAATTTACTAGATGATTGCAAGATTAGTAATTTATGGAAACTATCAAACGGGTACAAAAAGAAATGCATAATGCTGAATCTGCAATTTTGGGCCATGAGAATCAGAAAGAACTGAAAAAAGGGAAAGGAACATTGTAATGCACAGGACATTCCCAATAAGATTTATCTACATATTTTGCAAGATCAAACTAACCTTGACAGCAAATTGAATAGTCATCACCAAGAGCATCCAAAAGAGGCCGTGTTATTTGCTCAGCTTCTCTCTGCAACATACAATATAAGTGATCCAATTAAAGCTCATCAATATATGAACTGCTAAGTAGTTATAATTTACTTATGGATTGAACACTAACCTTTTCAGAGTTTGGAAGATCATCAATGTGAAGAAAATAATTCTCCAATGGCGACTCTACAACTAAATCACTGTCACATCCAAGGTTTAAGGCATGATGAGAGACAGATTCTGTTAAGTAAAAACCCAAAAATGGCTCAATTTCGCCCCATTTTTGGATCATATCATTTGTCTATGCTTCAAAGCGTTTAGGAATAAAAATAAAAATAAACCAAAACCAAGCATCATTCTTCTCATGGTCTCACATGCACTACACGTGCTTCACCTTAAAGTACATTTGAAATTCATAAAGAATCTTTCTGGAATAGAATTCACAGATAACAACTTACAGGTTATTCAGTTCAAACATTCCAATAATATGGCCATAAATTTCAAGAGAGAACACTGGAAATAGTCAAGGATATTCATTTTAGTATACTAATAGAATCATGTAGAAAAGAAGATTTGTCTGTTCATTAAGAACTACTCCGTAATAAGGATACATGGCTTGCATTCTTGGTCAAAGATGGCTGCCTTCAGGAGCTGCAGAGACTGAACAATCGAAACTTATAAATCAAATTTCAGTATCAAATAAATAATTAAAATATTTGAGTAGCAAAAGAACAGCAAAATACACCAACATTAACTTGAAAATAAAAATTGGAGCTAGAATAGTAGAGCACCCAATCCTTGCTGTATTTGCTTGAGTTTTTTGTTTTCTTTGGGGCTAGGTTACCTTGTTAGCGAGCTCCTTTATTTGCAGTCTAAATGCAGCTTCATCACTATGGTGAACATCATCAGGCAAAGCAATGCAATCCCACCACCTGCCAATTAATTTGGAAATTCATCCAAAAAAAAAAAAAAACAGAAGTTCAAGTAATTAAAGCACACCTCCTTGACTCCTCAGTCACTTATCATATTATCAGAAATAGTTTATAACAACTCAAGTGGAACAGAAACAGATCAATCGAATAAACAACACAGTTACAGCCTTACAGGACCATCCATTGTGTCATCAGGATATTGCATGTAAAAATTATGGTTTGATTACCTCAAATTGAAGCATGTGCTCCATTTCAACTAAAAGCCTAAGCTTATAGTTGGATTGCACATTAATGGCTACATGCTCACACGCCCTCTCACGTGTGCGGTGGGTTCCAAGCAACACGTGGACCGGTAAACCGTAGTCGCTTATGAGTGGCGCTGAGATTCGAACCTATGACCTTTGGTCTGGCTTTGATACCAAATTGAAGCATGTGCTCCATTTCAACTAAAAGCCTAAGCTTATAGTTGGATTGCACAATTAATGGCTACATGCTCACACCTCAAAATTTTAAATTAGTCGGCATGGAAATATATCTGATTATAATTTCAATAGTTAATTATTCTCAAATTTGCTATCAAAATCACAAGTATGAAGAATGTGTTAAATAACAAACTATAATGATTACTCATAGTACATGCAAGTTCATGTAATGCAACATAAAGCATGTGAATTGCTCAAGATTTGCTTGCAGCAAATAGCAAAGACTGGGGAGAAAAAAAAAAAAAAAAAAAAAAAAAAAAGTACCTTTTCTTATATCCCATTGATACAGGCTTCCAAGCCTCCAACAGAAAAGAAAAATCACACTTGCCTGAAGTATCATATTTTCCTTTTCCAGAAAGCCAATCTTCTTTGAACTTCCTGTACCTCAAGATGGTAAAGGAAATCACCTGAAGCACAAGCAATGATATTAAGTTCATTCAGTAACTAACTTTTCTAATAATGTATTCATGTGAGTGTCTGTGTATGAGGCCTTGGTTAAAAACATCTAATTCAACTAAAAGAAATAGAAATACCTATTCTCCACAGTTATGAAAATAAAAGGTTGTTTCTGATGGTTTATGAATGTAAAATTGACTTGAAAGATTAATTTAATAAGTACCTTGGCAGCAGGGAGGAAAATATCATTTGTTTCTGAAATGAAAAAGAAACATAATAAAAAAGCATAACAACTAGCAAAGGAAAAAAAATAAGAAGAAATGAAAAGGTTATGTGCCGGAGATTGTAGTGACACTTGAGTACTAGACCATAACTATACCATTAGCATGTTGTATGAATTTCAAAAGTGCCTCCGTGCTTAATGCTTTTGACCCCTTTCCAGTACAAAGCAAAGAATGGAACTCCTCCCAATCAGCATAGGCACATGATGGGCTGCCAAAGTGTTGAGACATGATTAAAGAAAATTCACTGAGGCTTTCTGTAAGCTTTAATAGCATTTTCAAAATAATGTTCACTTTGAATCATGAAATGGATGCTTAATATGGTTGGAACGAAGAAAAGATTATGAGAAAATATAAAAATGTTTACCTGCAATAATAGGCTTCTTTGCATCCCCCGGGACATGAAACAATTGAGGGCAAGGGGAACTCTTTTGAATAAGGTAACCGTAAGTCACCATTCATTAATGATTCAATCACAACCTTAGGGATGCTTATTTTAGATTTGGAACTGCTGGAAGAACATCCACCTATGTCCTTCCGATCTTCTGCATCAGAATAATCTTCTTCATCAGATGGATCAGAGTTATAGTAGTCTCTTTGTATATGTGAAAATTCTTTCCTTTCACATTCATCTGTGGAAACACCTAAATCTCGCCAATAAAGTTTTCTTCCAATTTGAAGTTCAATTGAGCCAATAAACCGGAAACAATAACTACATACAAGACAGTCAATCTGCAAAACAAAGACAATCATAAGAAGCGTGGGAAGGGAATGAAAATATTGTATCAAGTAATACAAACAACTTTATGGAAGCAAATGATATTTCAAAACCTTATTTGAAGAATGTTGGGCACCAACAAGCATTTTGTCTTTTAAAACAAGGTCTCCTTCTTTGAAATTCTTTTCAGCATAAACTCCTGCAGTTCAATAGTTCATAAAGGTGATGCAAAAACTGCTAGTTTGGAACAGATGCTTCAAAATTTTCAAGGTTTGATTTTGGATTTTTCATTAGATGTCAACATTAGATGAAAAGCATTTGAAACCATAAAGCCTATAATCAGCAATATGCATATGAATCAATCAATAAACCATACAATCAGCTAACTGAACATATTGCAAACAGCATAAGAAACTTACCCTCTAACACAAGTTCAGTTCTTTATGAAATTCGTTACTTCAGCATTCTTAATTAAATCATAATTCAGTAACAGGAAATAAAGAACAAAAAAAAAAAAAAAAAAAAAAGTGAAATTACCCTTTCCATACTCGCCATTGGGCTTCACTTTGAGGGCATCACATTGCCTGGTTTCTGTAAGCTCGTCAAAGTATTTCTGAATACATTCAAGAAAGAGGAATAAACTGAAACACATATAACAACTATATACATGTAGAGATAGAGAGGGTAGTGAGTACCTGAACTTGAAGAGGCGGAGGAGGGTTGAGGAGAGAGGGAATTTGATCGGAGAACTCATCGTCGAATGCGTTATAGGTTTCCATTCAACCTTCGACCAACAGCTGCTTCTACACTTCCACTGGACTTGCGCCGCCGCGGCAGTATGACTCTATCGCTGCTCTCCTAGAATGAGTTTTCAAAGTACGATGTCGTATTACGGGAAACTTACTGAAGCAATTAAATTACTATTTATATTTTTTAAATAAGAGTTAAATATGTAATCCAACTAGACACAAATTTGCAAATGAGCCATTCAATTTAAAAATTTATAATTGGATCCTTGAAAAAGTAAGGGCATCCTCAATAGTGTGAATATTTTGAGGGAAATAGAAAATGGGAGAAAAAAGAAAAACAAAATAAAATTAAAAAATAGAAAAAATAAAATAAAGTTTAACGCGCCCGCTAGGTGCTCTGTTTCTGCCCAACACGCAAGAGATGCGCAAATAAGAAAACAGATGGGACCCACATTATTGATAAAATCCTTATTTTACTGTCAGCCCTCTCTCTCCCATCTTCTCCACTTTGCCATTTGTTTCTTAAATCTTGTGCACAACCCCCTTATTGGGGTTGCTATAAGAAATGCACGTCTTGAGGTCACATGCAAGTAGACTGAGCAAATGTCTTGAAGGATCAAACAACGAGCGACACAACACGTGCGGTAGGACTAACTTGGCATGGACATACTCATAATTAATATAAATAGCCTAGCCAACCCTGCTTACATGATCATCTTGTACTCACTAATCCAACCATACTCTACTGAAACTCTGTATTCAGTCACTTTCTTGGGTAACTCTAATTCCTATTAGACTGCCTGGTCGACAAAGTGAGACATCCTATCATATGCTCAACTTGAATCCCCTTTTCCAATAACATTTAGTAAACCACAACCTATTTTACACTATCAATGACATCCACCAAACTCAGTCTAATCACAATCTAACTCAGAAAAGTTAAATTGTAAATGCAACACTATTGAGTTAATACATAAAATGGTCCCTCGACTATGTCATAATTACCAATTTGGTCCTCAACTACCATTCTTACCCAATTAAGTCCTCAACTATGTAACTTTTACTCAATTAAGTCCTCAACTATACAATTCTTACCCAATTTAGTCCTCTGTATTAATTTGACTGTTTGTTGACTGTCAAAAGTCGGGATAAAATTATAATTTTACAAGATTTCTCCTTCCCCTCCATTTAGCAGCGCCAAACCATGCAGCAATACACTCCGATCAGATTTCGATCGTAAAAAAATCGTTGGAAATCAAATTCATGGGCTATCCGATGCATAACCACTACTTCGATACTGACAGGTTTAGAACCCAACCGGAGCTTATTGCTACATGGTTTGGCGCTGCTAAATGAGGAGGAAGGAGAAAACTTGTAAAATTACAACTTTATTTCCACTTTTGACAGTCAACAAACAGTCAAATTGACAAAGGACTAAATTGGGTAAAAAATTGTATAATTGAGGACTTAATTGGGTAAGAATGATAGTCGAGGACCAAATTGATAATTACGACATAGTCGAGGGACTATTTTGGGTATTAACTCAATTTTATTCATATACTCTACTAAATGTACTTACTTTTTATTTTTTATTCATTTAGTAGACAAATAACCGATTAGTGTTTGAGTCAAAACTCTCAACATTTTCTTTGAGTATATTGTAATTCTACTATTTTATAAATGACAAAATTATTCTGTGAATATGGTATAAGACTTAAATAAATGTTGTATATCTTGGGTATAAGACTTAATTGAATCCAGCTATATACTTTCCTACTTGCCTGGCATTTGAATGCGATGGGATAGATTACTCCCCAAATTGAATGGTATTTAGCTATTTAGCTGCCATTAATTATCAATGTTTTAATTTTGTACTCAACAGCAAATTAAACTGATAATAGTAAAAGGTTGCGTCAAAGAAGAGGATGAAAAAAGACTAGTTTTGGGACCCATATGCCACATGCCTATGAACTTCATACTGAAGTTAGCTAAAAACAATTGGCCACAACCCCAAGTTCACCTTCGTTATCTTTCTAATTTGAGAACAAAATATTAAACATATATTTTTACTATAAACTTTGTTCATTGGATAATTGTCTTGATAATCACAAACTTTAAAGTTTGACTTCCCGTGAGAGCTGTCAAATAGTCTTCTTAATTTGACCTGATCAACTATTATGATTTACTGGAATTTCATAAATAGGACTAAAGCAAGACACAATGATAATCAAATTACATAATTTACGTGCGATGAAGACAAAACAATTTTTGATATCAAAGAAAAAAGCAAAAGTCCCATCGTTGTCTTCTTCAACTGTTCACAACCGCACAGTTTCTCCTGATCTCGCCGGCGCTCCCCGTCTTCACCTGAATCCTCCCCATTTTCTCCATGGACGTGGCAAACTGAGCATTGAAATTTGCCAGCGATCCTTCAGCTAGCTGGTTGACCAACGATCTTGTTGTTGGGTTGGTTAATAAGGCTGCGTCGGACTGGAACAATCCTCTTCTCTTGAGCACGAGTTTATAGTAACTGAGATCAAACGTCTTGAAGCTCCCAGGATCCATTTCTACTATGGTTGTGTTGTCGTTAACCGACCGGCATTTCCTCGTCCTCAGATTTGTCGCGTACTCGCTGTCCAACGATGGGTCTTGGGTCCCAAACACCCCGGTGAAGTTGTATAAACGAGAGGAAAACGACGAGCAATGGGATACTCCGATTGTATGAGCTCCTGAAAAAATTATTATTATTCCACAAAAAAACACCATTAATGAATTGCAGAAATCAATAGTCACTACAATACTCGAGGGTTTTTGCATACCAGATAGTAAGACCAAGTCTGTAAGATCAAGACCCTGGTTGCCAAAGAGCCTCTGCAGGTTAGTGAAGTTACTGGTCGGCGCCGGAATGCTTCTGGCTTCTGAGGCGTTGGAAATCCGGCCGTCTCTCCGGCCGGTCGGGACATTCCAGAAAGGCCCTCCCTGTGACACCAATTAACTAATTAATTCAAGAAATGTTCTTTATTTCCCGACTAATTATAAGTTATAACTAGTATTCTTACAATGGTGACAACAGAGTCTCTTGCAACCAGAGCAACAATATCCGCACAGGACACAACTCCAGGGCACTCTTTCTCCACCACGCTCTTCACTCTGTCAATAAAGTCGAACCCTCTGAGCGACACATTCGGCGGCGCCACCTTCTCCGTTTGGTTTCCGGTGCTCGACGTGAAATTCAGAAGCACCGATGCATCGCAACCCTGCACAGAATGTATACCACTATATATATCAGCCAACTAAAACCAAACCCACAGGGAAGAGAATTTGCAGATTTGTAATGATCAATTACCCTGACAAAGCAATCATGGAAATGCATTCTTAACAAGGTAGCCGACAGAGAAGGAGCATTTGGAATGTGTTGTTTGACATAATCCTGGATGAGTTTCTCGGCTTTGGGACAGGATTTTTCATAGAAATTCATCTGCAACTGAGCATACCCAGAGCCCACGATTCCCAGAATACATAAAACAAGAAACCCATAATTGCCCACCATAGCCATTGCAGTGAGTATTGGAACTTGGAACTTGGAACCCAGAAACTATTTAATTTTCTTGGACTATGCCAAACAATCAAGAAACCTGCAGATTTATAGGCACATAAATAACATCAATTATTAGACAGTGTCACAACACGCAACCACACTGTACGGAGCTGAGGCAACGCGCTCTCTACACTCTAGGCAACATGTGAATGGTTCTATATTTAGTACGAGGCATCTTTCAGAATTACTATGGTTTGACATAGTCGTAAATTAAACAATTAGAAAAGCCATTGGTCACAACTCACAAGACAGTATGTTCTTGGGGTTATTGACCGACAGGCAGCGTATTGGATAAATAATGAATATTTGCAGAAAAAGAACAAAAAAACAATACGGTGGTTTCAAAAAGCATATCATATCATTTTACCTGCTCCCCTCAAAATTTAAGTTGACAATATGCCAATGGATGTTACCTGCTCCCGTTCCTAACTTCCTATGATAATTTAGCAGCTACATATATACTCCAGCTCACTCGTATTTATGTTTTGGCATGTAACTGAGACATTATTAGCGGAAAGGGACAGCAGCGGCTACGACTATTCAAACGTGACTCTATTTCTTAATTTCAAACAACTTATAATATAGTATAGAGTTTTGGCCAACAAATTTACCGAAGTGACCAAAATTGATAATAATTGAATAATTAAGGTACTAAAATTGACAATTTCAAAAGTCGTTGATTGAAATTAACAAGACTCAATAGTCATATGACAAAAAGTGAAATTAACATTATAGTATATGATCTTTCAAAACTGTGAGTATATAACTACTATATACAACTAATTAGTAGACTTTAGCACTTTCGATAAGTCAATCCCATCATGAGTCTCCTCCATAGCCCCATTGGCAATTAGCTAGCTCTACATAGTATGTACTAAGACTGCCCCATCATGTTTTTTTGTTTGTTTGTTTTTTTTTTTTTTTATTCACAGGGTGTTGCAAGCTTGCATCAAGTACAAATGTTGTTAAAATGATAACTTTTGTACTTATTTTTAATCATGGGGATGTGAAAGTGGAACCTACTTTTAAAAGTGAGTCGGAATTACATATACGTAAAAAAAAAAAAAAATACAGTGAGAAAATTACAAATTTTATGATATTAAAATAAGATATATAATTCACTCTTGAAAATGCTAGAGTTTTTCATAAATAAGGATAATCTAATTTTGAGTTTAGTATTTTTGTTAACACGCACGGAGCAGTCTTTACCCAAGAACTCTTGGAGAGTTGTAGACTTGGAGTTAGCTACTTTGCTATTTTTTTTTTAATGAGATATAATAACTATATAAGTGATATTTGCCTGTGATTGGATAGGATAAAAGGCTGGGTAGGGGCCAAATTGGAAATTAATTATATCGTTGGTGTTTAGTCAAACAGGATAAGGAGGTAATTTTGTTGAGAAATTGAAGACGAGTATGCATGTAGTATACTGTGGGTAGCAATTTACAAGAAACCACCTAACCTTGACTGGTCTCAAAAAACTAAGGATTTATATATGTTCCAAATGAAGCTTATTGGTGTCTTTTTGTCTCAAAGATGTTGTTCCTTACTTAAAGCGCTGAAAATCAGGATTCTTGCTTTTATAAAGGGTTTAATCTCAACCTAAGGGCAACAATTTACTACTTTGTGGTCGATCAGATAGCATGTAGTGATCTCTCCTATGTAAGAGGTCATAAGATTGAGCCTTAATTGAGGTATTGTTGACTCTCTGTATGTTTGAACAGATAATTAAGAGTCAGTAATATTCAAAATATATATTATTACAGAGTTTATTTTATATTTTATTTTATTTTATTTTAATAATAAGCTTTGTGCATAACTTAGTAAAAATGTTATTTTTAAATATTTATTGATTATTCATACATTGATTACTCCCCACTGCTCCAAAAGTTCGTTTGGAAATCTGAAGAATATTTTCCAATAAATTATTTTTTTAAAAAAAATAACTCATTTTCAGAAAAATATTTTAATTGTTTAGTGTTTGGATGAAAGTCAATTTTTTTTCTATTTTTCTTGTAGCTACTGGCTCTATTACATCATTGTAGTATCTGTTCATATACTTTCTCAACCTACTGAAACACAAAGAACCAATAACGCCTCCACTGAGGCTTGAACTCATAATCTTCCAAATGGAAGTCCAACCCGGATACCATTAGACCACATAGTCCTGGTTTTTTTCTATTTAGTTGAAAATTGAGAAATTGTATTTTCTCTATTTTGTTTATAGAAAATGAATATATTAATAATAATAATAATAATAATAATAATAATAATAATAATAATAAGTGGGGTGGTAATAATAATCCAGAAACTAGTCTAAAGAGAGATGAGAAAGAAGACATATAAGAAAATAAAGAATTTGAAAAATACTTTCCAATTAAAATTTAGAAAGACATTTTTTTATCAAATTGGACTCTTTTTCCGTTAACCATAATAAATATTTTTCTATAACTCTATTTTTTTTTAAATACCTAAACACAAAAAAATTAGAAAATAACTTTTGAAAATCATTTTTTGAGTTTTTAAAGGACCCTAAATTAATCAAGCCACATCAAATAATATAAGATTTAAAAGTCGTGGTGTGGTTGATGGGGATTGTGGATGATGGGCTGGCCTTGATTTAGTAGAACCATGCAAGTGGGAACTATCTTGGAACTAATAAATCTGAATATGACATTTATAGAGAGCATACTAAATTATAGACTTTTTGGCGAAGACTTCACTTCATTATCGGGAGGCTGTAATTGGTGGATTTCCCTCACTTTTACTTTCTAAGATTTCGTTTAAAGATAGACTTAGTGTCTCACAGCAAAGAGTGCTTCTACGCTCAAATTGAGCTTCCTTTTCTAAGACTTCCATCATTACACTAATTGTTTTTTATTTTTATTTTAACTAGAACCACACACTAAAACTAATCATGTTTGTACCTGAATAAAACTTCGAATTAAATTGAAAATAGACTCGAATTATTTAATAGTTTTTTTTTTTTTTTAACTACTAAATAAGTGGTAGGTCTATTGTTAAATAAAACAACTTCGAAGGCAATAGGTAACTAACAAATGCATTGATGGCTTGATGCTAAGCCATTATTCATTTAATTAAAAATGTGTTGAGAATTCAAATCTCAATAATTCACGGGGTAATTTTAATATGATTATTTGTGAGTTATTTAGTCTTTATTATTTAATATCAAGTTATTGTGATTATTTCATATATTATAATTATTAAATGTATCCATCAATCATCATGTGTTTATGTTTATGATTTCAATAAAGGCCCAATTTTGGACCACCACATACCAACTCGTAATGGATTGATATTGACACTTGACAGGTATATTTAAAATGAGACTAATATTGTCAAGTTAATTGCTTATCACCTAGGATTATTATTAATATAGTCACAACATTGAAAAAGTCCATTGCCACTCATCATGTTCCTTTATTTCTCCTAAGTCTTTTTCCTTTTTAATAGACATTAAAAAAAAATCTTTTCTATATGCTAGATAGAAGAAATATCAAGTTTTAGTAAATTGTAGTTCCGGTTGGTTAAAGTGACGCCAAAAAGACATTGCGATTGGGTTGAGTTTATTAGCCCCCGGAAGAAATTACTGACATCCTTAAGACAGACCGTGGGTTGTTGGCCTCTTGAGAGAGTAGAGGTTAGAGTATCTGGATACCACTCTCCCCCCACCTAAAAAATAAAAAAGTGTCACTTAATTTTGAGTATACTAAATTTTATATTTTAATTATCAATTATAATAATGTTTTTATAATTTGTTTAACATTTGACTTTGAAATTAGACATAATTTCAAAATTAACAAAGTAGAGTAGGGTAGGTAAACACAATAGCATAATTTGGTATTTGATTGAATTTTAAAAAATTAAATCGAGAAACAACTATAAGTCAACTAGAGCCAATTAACCAAGGACCTTGTGATCCATTGGTACCCAGTTGCTCCCCTAAGTGGGAGGTGAAAGGTTTGAACGTCACTTGAGGCAAATAGTGTGTATATGTAAGGTATCCCACTCTCTTATAATAATAAAAAAAAAAATTAGAGCCAATTAAAAATTAGTTATTATTTTTTGGTTTTAAATAGCAAATCATTTTGCAGTATTATTTTCTAAAAAAGAATATCTAAAAGGAAATTTGCAGAACATGGTAAAAGGAGGAAAAACACAAGATTCACTTTTGGGTCGTACCTATTGCGTATAATTTTTTTAGTATGACTTACTTTTCTTGTATAATTTGTATTTTGTAAGTTACTACATAAGAGTCAAATTTATTTAGTATACATATATGGGTAGTAAATACAGGTTTTAATTTGCTCATCACTCAAAATATTCTTTTATATAGAAATATAAAATCAAGTAGGGAGTAATAATCAACTAATGATAGGCGTTTGAATATTCAAATTATTATTTGAAATTTAAGGGTACGATCGAAATTTAATTGAATTACTTTTATCTCATAAAATAGAAATATAATGTACCATAACATCCCGGCGTCTCTATCATTATACTGTTTGGCATTAAATGGTCAATACCGGTCTCCATGCTTCACTGCTCATCGGTGGAATGGTTGGTTAGACAAACTTTGGCACTACTTTATAATTACATGTATCTTAATTACGCAACTATATGCAATCATGTATAATCTTAATACAGTATTAATATTTCATTAACGTTCTTTGTTTAAACCATTAGCTATGAAATATCAAAACTGACTTATTTCTTTGTTGTCTTTTATCGGTTACAATAATCACCTTAGTTGCAGGTTTTCCCGTAAATCAAAATACATTATTAATATTTATAACTTCACATATAATAATTGATAATTAACATTATTTGTCTAACAATTTATGTTTTTATTTAACATGATTTTATTCATGATGTGCTGAACTAATAATCCTATACGTGACAGTTAATCACCACATTATTTTAGCATATATAGGTGTACCTAAATTGACAAAGAGTCCCTGCATATATTTTGTTCCATGTATTTAGCCTGGATTAACGTCAATTATAGCAAACGTCAATGGTGCATGTTCTATTTTTTATTCTTCTTTTTTTTAATAATTTTTTTCCCCATACAATCAAAATAAAATACACAAAAGAAAACTACATACATATATCTAGATAAGAAAAAA